CACACAAATGTGATTTAAGTGGAGTGAAAAACACAGTATGAGACAAACTTTAATACAATTGTCTATATTAATTCCATATTATTATTGTGGTACTCACAAATATAGTGCTAAAATCGCTGTCATAAAAGATAAAGCTACTTGATAGATTTATGAATGTAGACGCATCATCAGCCTCAATAATATGATCTCCTGAAAATCCACGTCCTGCAAAACTATAGAAACGTGATATGGGAATAGAAAGACCTGTGAATGATAATCAATTAACTCCATTTATAGCCTAAAATAAAAATACTGACAGTTCTGTAGTGAGAGCAAGAAACACAGCAACAGCAAATGAGTGAAATGACTCCAATCCATGATCAGTTCGCTATCATCGCCACCATAAATGGTGACAGGCGACAGGCCCCGAGTATTATCTGGATTATGTGGTTATAACATAGATCGATATGGTATACCCGGTACATGGATATGAAACCGGAAGTGATAGCAGATTGATGCCGGATATGACTCATAAAGCCTGATCAATACACACATGAATAAGCATAGCCACCACTACTGAGGAGTTTGAGTCTCTTTTTACTAAACTAAGGTACCTATAATAAGCAGATTATAGTTATTTTAACTTATAATTCTAGGTCAAAGGGATGCCTCTTTTATTTAAACTCAAAATTAAAGACTTCAAAAAAAACTCAGGCATGATTTATAGTTATTATTCTGTGTTAAATCCATATAAATAGATGACTATCATTCATTAGTGATAATAATATGTTACAGCTGTGGGGAAGTGTCAGGCATGACAAGGAGTGATATACACTTGCACTAGGGCCCTATAATTATAAAAATAAAAGATGAATGTCATTATAACAAATGCTTATACTTTTCAATAGTGGACTGGTGCCTGTAAGGTCTATTTAATAGTACTCTTGTCTGTCAATAATGTATAGCATTTGCAGTACTCTTTAATAACAAGTATAGCTATGATATTCACAAGCTAACGTAGTATCTATGGTTATAATAGCAATGTTGTCGAGGTGTGGCCATGCCTGACTAGCTAGTTAGTTGATTTGTAGACCGGTATAGACTGTGGCATAAATATTAGAGTACACAATATCTATGACTGTGGACATATAGATCTAATGACCTACTAATCTTATCAGTTTATCTCCTCAAGGGATTTATGAAAACCAGACTTATAATAATACCATTTAATTCACTCTTTCTTAGCATGCTAAATTTTACAATACTATCAAAGTATTTGAAAAAAATTTTATATTGATGGTACAGTGTGGCCTGTCACGAAAAAAAATGTCCCCCGTGAAAATTTATCCTAGGATAGAAATATCACGTGATATTTCATGTCCGCGTCAGCAATTTTTTGTCCTACCAAAAGAAAAGTGTAAAAGAACTCTAAATCTTTGTATTCGACTTTGTTCCTTAATTATTTATCTATGGAATACAAGTACAAAGCATGTGGGACCCTTTATTATACGTTCAAAGTACATAGAAGAAGATTTTAGATCGAAGAAGGATGACAGACTGTGTCAAGAACCGAGTAAAGATGATCTCAGTTGTGGAGAAGGCAGCTGTGTATTTAGCTGATAGAAAGTATCCAGAAGGTTGTAGTGCTAACAGAAAGAGGCAGATATGGAAAAGAGCTGAAAAGTTTGTTTTCAGTGCAAAATGGGGAACCGCCGTATTACCAGACCAAGATGACTGAATGGTCAACTATATCATGATAGTGTAGGTGTTTTGTGTATTTTAAAAAGTTTAGTTAGTTATGTGTATATATGTATGTACGTAGTATGATATCTGTGCTTTTGTAGACAAACTCAGTATGTATATGCATCTGTATTCATGATTTGAATAATTAAATCAAAGCATCAATTATAACAAACTGATATATGATAGCTTGCCCAGCAATGGTATTGATAAACGTACCAGGGAGCAGATAGCAGCAATACCGAAATGCACCGAGTACAGGGAATTAAAGTGACTGTTCCTAGTATGCAAATTAAGGCAAAATGGACAATAAGATTGTGGTTTATGTGCCCTTGCTTTAGCAATGTCAATTTGTGCTGGTTAAGACCCAACTTTTTGCAGCTATATTTCACATAAGCTTCGTTTCCATCTTTTATAATGCTTAGAAAAGAATGTGATGTCTTTGTTTTCTACTTGTTTAAGAGCTAGATGCCCTGGACTATCCAAAGAATACAGGCTACCTATATACTGCCTGTGCAGACAACCTATAGTAATGAAGGAAGAATAGTAAAATGTTCTTAATGTAAGGAGTGGTATCACATAGAGTGTGAACAAATACCAGAAGATGTTTGGACTGATAAGGACTACGTTTGGTCATGTAATTGTTGTAAAAGTTGCATGAAAACAATTATTGTGCGATAATGAAATGTATTATTATTATTATTATTATTAATACTGAGTGCTAAGTAAATTTTCCTTATCAAAATAGTCTATATATGCATAATATTATGATCCTAGGATAAAATATTTCATATACAATTTGTCCTAGGACAAAATTATTTCATATATTATTTTGTCCTAGGACAAAAAAATTAGTCCTATGGTAGGACAATAAAAGCTTGCCTAGGACAAAATATTTCTGAAAAATTTTGTCCTAGGACAAAATATTTCTGAAAGATTTTGTCCTAGGATAAAATATTTTGTCTCATGGGACAAAATTTGGGTGGGACAGATTTTTCTGTGACAGGCCCCTTTGCAAGGTTATTTTTAAATTGATTGCATGTCTGACTAGGTGTGAGCACTCTATCATGTGATATAGGTAAGTACTGGACAGGTGAATACTGGTCCCAATGCGTGGGTGTGAAAACCAGCATTAGCACTATAAGTAACGATGGAATGGTTAAAGGAATGACACAACACAAAATAAATTTATCATTGCAGTTTTAAGAGGAAAATAAAATAAAGTTAATAAAATTAATCGTTATTGTCAGGTTATTCTTTTTTCTTTCCGTTTTTCTTGTCGGGGAGGGCAAGAGCCAAGAAAAGTAATAATGAGATTTTTCTTTTCAATTTATTAAAATAAATTTTGCAACTGAAAAGAAATCATAAAGTTCACCTTTGTACCAAATTTTGAAGCAACTTTATAAATTCTTTAAATATTCTATTAACCAACTCAAACTTGCTACACAACACAAAGAACATGTG